ACCGGAGGCGGCCCCGCCCCGTCGCCTCCCGCTCACTTCCGGCGTGCTGCGTCACGGCCCGCCCGAACTGCGCCCGGGGGGGCAGATTTGAGTGTGGCACCGAGGCAGCCGCGCTGTGACGGGGGACAGGTTTGAGTGTGGCACCGAGGCAGCCGCGCTGTGACGGGGGACAGGTTTGAGAGTGGCACCGAGGCACTGCCCTTGCCCGACCCCCCCCAACATGGCGGCCGTAACATGGCGGTCGCGGGCGCAGCCCCTTCAAGGGCGCTCTGTGTGGGGCGCGTTGTCTCTCCACGAGTTCCTGCTCGGTACTCGGTAACTTGAACGCCTTAACAAACTCCTCTGAGCTCCCTGCCGGGAAGAGCCCCGCGGGGGAGGGGACCCGGGCTATGACACCGGCAGGTGTCGAGAGTGGGACACTGGCACCGCGGTTCTTCATCCCTGGAAGCCCGCTGGGCTGGTGACAAAGAGGGTCACCAAGTTGATCAGAGGGATGGAACACCTCTAGTATGAGGAAAGACTGGGAGAATTTGGATTGTTCAGCCTGGAGATGAGAAAGCTTCGGGTTCACTTTATTACCCCTTCCAGTGCCTGAAGGGAATTTACAAGAAAGGCAGAGAGGAACTGTTTACAAATACATGTAGTGACAGGAAAGGGGTAGTGGGTTCAGGCTGGAAGAGTGTAGGTTTAGATTAGACATTAGGAAGAAAATCTTTACTCAGACAGGGTGCTGAGGCCCTAGCACAGGCTGCGTAGAGGAGCTGTGGCTGCCCTGGTCCCTGCAAGTGTCCAAGGCCATCCATGGCAAGGGGTCAAACGAGATCATCTTTGAGGTCCTTTCCACTCGGTGATTCTGGGAAAGTTGTTACCTCTACCTGCAAGGTTCGTCCCGTGTCTTTACACTTCCACAGCTACCACAAGCCTCACTGCTGGCTGCCAAGGGCTTTTCCCCGTGCCAGTCGGAGCCTTTTCCCTGGAAATCCTCGCAGAAGCGGCAGGAGTTGTCCCGGCCGAGCCGGGGACGCCGGGCTGTGGGCTCGGCAGGGCTGACAGCAGGTGTCAGCACGGCTCCAGAGCCAGCGCCGCTCCCCGCCACACAAACCCCCCTCGCTAAGAGCAACTAACTGAAAAGAATCAATGTCTGTTTTCTTTCTAAAATAAAATCCCCCAGTCACTGCAGACCCAGCTCGATGATTCCCACCCGCAGGAGAAGCTGCCTTCCAATATAACCATATTTCTTTCTGTTGCTCCCTGCGGTCTGCAGAATTTCAGCAGGCACGTGTGAGGTGCTGGATTTGTCCCTTTCCCCTCTGCATCGCCTGTTTGACTGCAAGTCCAAGGCAGACACAGCTGTCACTTTGTGTCCATCCTGGGCTTCCAGCAGCCCTAGAGAGGTGCCTGGTCAAGGCTAAAACCATCCAAAGATACTGAGGAGGTGACTCTGCTTGTGGCTGTTTTTACAAACAGCTTTATTTTATTCACTTCCTTTCCATAAAGAGAACATATCCATTATGGGAAAAGGTCAGTGAGGACTTTTATCCTCCAGAACAAATCTTACTTAAGTTACACCAAATTTGATTCACTTTTCTTTATTACATGTAAGTAAAAAGCCCTCTCCTTCCTTTGCTGTTGCCTCCAGAATTCTGTTGTCAAGTGAATTGCTGGCAGGAGGCAGATGTGCCTGGATGGAAGATTTTCATGTGGCTGGTGAATCAGCTCGAAAATGTAAAAAGGTGAGCATTAAAACAGGCTGCCTCCTACTTTAACCCCATTAGAAATCACGAGTTGTTACAAAGTACCTTAATGCACTCCGGGTGCTTGGGATAAAGGAAAGCCGCAGTTGCTCCCAGAGGAGCTTCCCATCTAATTTTAACCATGACACAATCAGCGACAGTGACAAATGGGGGGAGGGAGAAAAGGGGCAAGGGAGGATGAGGGTGACAATAATAAGATTACACGGTCACTTAGGTTCATTATGTGCATGTCTTTGTGCCACTGCTGGCCCATTATGTTTGTGATGGGTGGAGGAATGACTGCGGGAGAGGAAGGGGCAAAGAGCACGGTGGGAGAAAAGCCAAATATATTTTTGTGCGATTGACTTTAAGCACCAACGCCTCACTCATGGGCCAAGAGGAAGCCCAAGCAGGTGGACAGGGGATTGAGCAATTGGATTTTTTTCCCCTCCTTCAGTATTGATTTGGATTGCCAAGATTTATTTCCCAGCTCACAGCACTTTATACCTGGGCATAGATGCCTACAGCTGAAAAAAAAGGGCCAATCTCAAAGTGCACCAAGTTGTTCATTATCCTTAAGACAAGTCATTCCTTTCATTAAACAGTTTGTACAGCTCTTTCACCGCCTTGTGCCCTACCACATATCCCAAGCCACAAAAATAGCTGGTGATGTAAAAGGTTTTGAAACTCTGGATGGGAAGAGCTGCTTCTGCCATAAATGGCCAAGCCCTGAGCCAGCCATGCAGGGCACCTCCTGCCAATTCCACCTCCGTCACTCCTTCACTATCACCATCTCCTTCAGGTGAGGTGTGGCACATCCCGGGTCAAAGGCCTGATTTAATCTCTGCTGCCACTTTCTCCACGGTTCCTGCCAAGGAGAAAGGAGCAGGGCTCAGCCCTCCATGCTGCCCCAGGAGGGTTTGCCTTTCTCAGCAAAACAACCTTACCAAATGAGCATCCGGGCAGGATTCGATTGCTGCCAGAGCTGCTCAGTGCTGTTGATGGACTCAGCTGCTCTATGCTGTGCCTGCAGCCAGCAACAATAAAGCAGGCTCTTATTAAATTAACCTGCTAAGACACAGATCCTGCAGGGATGTTCAGGGAACAGACAGATGGCACAAGCAAGGGCCAGGAATAATTGCAATCCCATCTCACCGATGTGAGAGATGAATCCTGCCTGGTGCTGTGCCCAACAGGGAGGCAGGACTATGACCAGTACCCTGAGAGGTGACAAAGGAGCATGGATGGAGTGAGGAGTCTGGAATATGTCCTGTGGATGCCAGGGTGGGACTCCACCACCCCCCAGTAGCCAAAGCCTCCGCATTATGTGGATGCTGCGTGGCTGCCACCACCTCTTGTGGGCTGTCCCTGCTGCCCTCATTGATCAGCTCTGACTCCCTGTGTCTGCCTGAGCTACAAACCAGACTCTCCTCTGCCAGGAAGCCTGCAGCAAGGCTGCTGAGCCAGGGCAGCAGGGATAGCCCAGATTTCACCTCAGTTACCGTCTAGCTGGGGACATCATTTGCGTAAATACATGCAAAACCAGCTTAAGACCCAGTGTCATTTCTTCTTCGCCTCTTCCAGAGGTTTTGCTAATCCACTTATTGTGCCTTATGGTGTTCAGCATGGAAGCTGCAGGGGAGGGACCAGCTCCTCAGGGCTCAAATGGCTACTGGAACACCAGGGGCTGCTCTCACATTGTGCTCATTCAAGGAGGTCGTGTCACACCAGTCACATAACTGCAATGACAGCTTTTGATCTCAGCCCCGTCAGGGTCCAGTGAAATGTGTCTTAGGGGTCGGATGTGTCCACCTGGCCCAGACTCCTAATTCTGGGGCTGTTTCAGAACCTGCAGAGATACTTTTCTTTTTTGCCAGCTTTTCCTGCCAATGTAGAGATGACTCAGAAGCAAATCCTGAGGTCTCTTCTCAGAAATTTCTGATTTTCTGCCATCCCTCAGCTTTTAGCCATTACTTCAGTAGCAACAAAAGGCATGATAGGTGCTTCAAAAGAGGTAAAGGACATTTTCCAAAGTAATTACTGATTCTGAAGCAGAAGGAGGGCTTCACTGGAATATAATTGATACAACAAGGAGGCTGTTGGGATTTCTGGGAGAAGCATCTCTCTTTGGCTCACAGACCTGGTACCAGACCACCAGCCATTTAGAAGAGCTTGGCCCAGGAGCTGAACAGCACCACAGGGTAAGAGGCTGTTGCTACACCCTGCCACACTCATTGCCTGCAGCCCCTCCCCTCCCCTCCAGCCCTCTCTCCTGGATATCCCCTCTGATGCTGCATCTCCTGCCTGCAGGATCAGCATCTCAGCAGGTCTCTGTGTCTCTGGGTGGTGATGAGTCACTGCTCTGTGTGAGCAAGCCAGTGGTGGCGGAGCCAGAAATGTGGTTTCGCGGGTCATTCCTCTTCCTATTTTCTCCAGTAGTTGAGCTCTCTCTCCTCGTTGCCCTTCACAGTCCAAGCTGCTGTAATCCTTTCTGCAGTGCCTGGGAAGCGCCTCCAGCTATTGCTCACCAGGTCTGGGTTGGGCCCACGCTGAGCTGCTGCTCCTTGGCTCTCTGTCATCCACAGACCCAACGTGCTGCCAGCACAGCCCCCTCTCCTTGGGTACCACCTTCCACAAATTTCTGCAAAGCTGAGGGGATGGCGCTGTCCTCAGATTTGCCTTTGTTAAATCACCAACATGTGGGATTGCCTCTTCATAGAAATACATATACATATATATTTTAAAGTCTCTAACCAACAGTAGAGTAAAACTGAAAATACAGCTCCTTACGGCTAAAAAGCCAGAAGGCAACAGTGAACACATAAATCAGACCTGTTGCTTTAAACTCCAAATGAAAAGAAAGAAGGGGGGAAACTAAATACTCTGACAAGATATATTTTTAAGTTTTGTAAAAATAAAGTAATTTTAAACTGATGTCTTACAGAAAGGTTCCCATTTGCTTTTAGAATTCAACATGTTTTCCTTTTTTTATCATATTCCTGCAGCATTTGCAATTCAAATGCTACAGAAATGTGTAACCTTGCTCATGAAATTTGCTGGCCAAATGAAGCAGACAACAATTAATTAGAGTGAAACCCCCTGCTTTATTCCCATTGGTGAGAACAAGAGAGAGAAAATGTAAAATTCAACTCAAATGGGGTATTGAGAAAATACTTTAATATGATGTTGATCTTAATAAGCAAAACCATTTCTTTCCTCCCTCTTTTTTAGTAAATTGCTTTTCACTTGACAATTTCCTCACAGCAAAGTGACAAGCATTATTCTGAGTTGTTAATTCCTCCATGCAGGCTCTGGCGCTGAGCTCATTAAAGCGTGCTGAGTCCCCGGGCGGGCGCTGCCAGGTTGTGCGGTGACCTGAGACCAGAACACCCACTGCCCTGTCCTGTCCCCAGCCCTGGGACAGGCGGTGTCACCGAGACAGCCGAGCACCTCGTCTTTGTGGCAGGGCCTCAGTGCCTTGGGTGGGTGACACGGGGACATTTCTGTTGGAATACTGGTGGCCCTTTCCTGGAGCATCACTCCTGGCTGGCACAGGATGCACAATATCTGGGTTCTGGCAGCACTTATGGCATGTGGGAGATACACTTCCCAGGTGGGCAATGCCACTGTCACCAAATGCTGCAGGGTGGCACATCCTGCTTGATTTAGTATCATGGAATATCAAATCAGAATATCACAGACCATCTTCCTGGCATGGCCCTGTTCCCCATGCTGATGACACTCACTGTCCCATCCACCTCTTTTCCCCAGCCACAGCTGAGGATGTGCAAACACATCAGCAGAGAGTCCCTGTGCCTGGCAGGGCAAATGGCCACCCTGCAGGTGCCTCTGATGAGGGCAGAGGGATGTCTTGGAAGAGATGCTTACGGAGGAGATCAGCCTGAGGCCAGAGGGAAAGGCTTTCCACAGCAGGGCAGTGGCAGAGCCACAGGCAGTGGATCCAGGCAGAGCTTCTCCCCAGGCTGCCTTTGCCAACAGCCAACAGACCGTCTGCAGAGCAGGAACACAGCAAGCTCTTTATGAGACACTTGACCAGCTTCCCTGTCAAGGGAGGCATATGGGACAAAGCTGTGTGTCCTCCACACCAGAGCCTGTCAGCTCTCCTGGAAAGAACACCTGGCTGATTGGAGACAATCCAGACACCAGCAAGAGTCTTCATAACACCCCAGAGAGCTGCAGCCTGGATGACATGTGGCATCCATCATCATCACCCAACGGAGCCAAACCAGCAGACCTCAAAGGCTGACTGCTCCAGGAGCCTGGGAACCAAGGGGTTAAAGTGCTTGGCCAGGGAAGGTCCTGGGAGGAGAAAAGCACCAAAACTGCTTAATTAGAGTATTCAGATTAGATGGGGTTGCAAAGCAGTTAATTTCTCAACTTGAAAAAAACAAAGTACTTGCTAGCCAGGATCAGAAGCAGTGGGAGCCATCATCAGCTTCACAGGGGCCCTGCATGCTGGGGAGGACTCCAGAGGTCTCTGCCATAATTACCTGTAGTCTTTAGTATTTTGTTCTGTAGTTTATGAACTTGCTTGAGCATTTTGTGGATAAAAGCTGGTGATCCAAACTCCAGCTGTATTTCTGCTCAAATAAGCAAAGGACTGCTGCCTGGCATTGCAGTGTGACACTTTGGCATTTCAAAGAATTTCCTAATTTTCAGTCTGGAGAGGATCAAACCAGTGGCTGGTGGAAGCAAACTGTGGCTCTGCCAGGCTGGTGCTCCCTCCCAGCCTCCAGGACAGGCAACCACCTCCCATCCCAGCACAGATGGACCAACAAACAGCCCTGCATGGACCAAGCCACCACTCACACCGAGGGCTCACTGCCTCATTGATCCATTGCCTCACTGATCCACAGCCATGGACACCTCACTGTCACCAGCCCCTGAGCAAGTCCAGCCATGCCAGTGCCAGGGAGAGGATGCTCTTCCCTGTGCCACAGCAGACCTGGAGACAGCTCCAGTGTGGGGATGTGGACTTGGGATGCTACAGGAACAGTGCCAGGGCTCATCCCTAGGTTAGTCCTTGTCTGTGGGCTGACAGCTCTCCTTGCTCTGGTCCATCTGCCTCACCCTTCAGGCTTTTCTCATCTCCTTTTTTACTGTTCTAATATTTTCTCTAATATTTAATCCCATGCCAAATTCTTTCCCATCCTCTTAAAATTCTGCAATTCTCCTAATTTTTTCCCCCTAATCTCATCTGTGTAATTGAGAACCATCTTGAATCCCTCTGTGTTCAGTCTTCATGCTTTGTGCCGCCACTATCTTCCAATCACTTCAACATGAGATCTTTGCATATTATTCCTGTGGAGACAATTTTTTGTGTGTTCCCTAGAAAGAAAGTCATCCTCCATTGGCAAGTGTTTTGTGGTGAATGAGAGGGGATGTCACAGCAGGAGCAGAGGCAGCAGTGGAGGGTCCCACCCTGCACTGTGCCTCAGGGTGATACTGATGTCTGGGGTGAGCTGGGATTTATTTCCCAGCAATATTTTTGCTCTTCAATGGCTGTGAGTGAAAGGTTTTGACACCCTCCATCAGCACAGCACCAGGTGAGGGTTGGCACATGTTCCCTGCCACCCTCCCTCTGGCAACACAGCTGCCACTGCCCCTGGTGTCACCCACCAAGTCTCAGCACAATGGGAAGGGAAGGAAAATAGCCACTCCCCCCTGCACAGACACACTGCACCAAGAGCAGAGAAAATTGATCTCTGGCTTCTGAGTCTCTCTAGCACTTTGTGTTGCTGAAAGGAATAATCAAGCCTGGCCCTGGAAAAGGCAAAGACAGAAAGGAAATAAAAGCTTTCTCTGTCTAATGATTTCTCTCTGGGGTTGGGAACCTCCCTGGGGACCCCAGTGGTGGTTTTGGGAGAGGCACTGGGACTGTTTTTGCTCTGAGGCCTGCTCAGCAGCAGATCCACAACAATCCCACTAAATTTTGCTTTTCCTGCTCACTTGGCAGGTCTGAGGAAAAGAGGAAGAGGCTGCCAGGGCTCCCAGCTGCGTCCCCAACCAACAAGAGGGCTGCCACATGCACTTACACTGGGCTTGCCCAGGGATGTCACTTGAGCCACAGCACAACTTCTCTCCTGTCCTTCATGTAGCAGCCATGGTCTGATGCAGAAGCCTGGATTTCTTCTTGAGGTTGTGGCCCTCACACAACTGCAGGGGTTGGAGTCTGGGGACAAGGATCAAAGTGCTGAAGTCCCACTCATGGTGCTGAGCAGGGAGAGAAGGCTCCTCACTTTTCCACAAGCCAAGGGTTGAACTTTGCCCTCCACAAGAGTGTGGGAAATTTACCATAGCCCATCACCAGTGGCTCAGAATCTGTATTTAATACTCTGTTGCCTCAACAATCATCAGATTAAAAGAAAAATCTGCACTGAAAGTGGAGCCCAGAGGCTCCTCCTGGCTCCCGGCAGCACACTCTGAGCTGGCCCAGCCCCAGCTTCAGCTACTTACAGTCCAGGTGACACACATTTCCACAGGCTGCCCCCTCAGCCCCATCCTTGCCAAGCTGTCCAAGAGCCAGGGGTAGAGCTGTGGCATTGTGAGACACCTGCAAGCAGAGATGTGGGGGGAACATCACATCCCCACACTGCTCCAGGGAAGCTGACTGTCACCTCAGCCCCAGGTAAGTGCTGACAGAGGGATGCTCCATCATTTGGTGTCCTGTGGAAGATGCAGGTTGGTGAGGCTGCAGGTGGGGGGAGAGGCAGAGGAGGAGGAGCAGCAGCAGATCTCTCCCAGCTCCTGCTCTACAGCCCTGTGCCAGGACTGGCCAGGCTGGCTGGCTGGCGGTGGGCGTTCGTGACTCATGATCCCTGATCACCATCCGATGACACATTTACTGCCAGCAGGATGGGCCTCCTGCCAGCACAGCAGCTCTGGAGCCTCACGGGAGGGTGGCTGGGCTTTGCCAGCAGCTGTGCTGATGCAGATGGGTGGGGAGGTCACCAGCTGCAGCCCTGGGATGCACAACCTGATGAACCTCCTGTCTGGGTGGGTAATGGGGGCAGACCAGGATCCTCTGTCTCAATGTTCAGTGTGGGACCACAGGGGCAGAGATGGGACCCAGTCAGGGCCAAGCACAGCAGGCCCTGGAGCCAGCCCAGCTCCCTCACCTCCCACAGCACTCTCCCTGCCTGTCCAGAGAGCTGGCTCCCTGCAGTGGGCCCATGGTGACAAATGCCTTTAAAACATTCTTTATTAAGTGAGAAATCTCACTGTGCTCCCTATGGCAAGCCCTAATACAGTACAGACCTAAATACAGCACTAATGCAAAAGCTTAAAGGATTTCCCATAATTGAGTAAAGCTGACAGAGGGGTGAGAGTCTGTCGGGGGGAACTGCAGCCCACCTCCCTCCTCAGCATGGGCTACCCTCAGTGTAACCTCTCTGGTCCAAATGTGGCCACAGCCCCCACCCTTGGACTGTTTAGTACAGGAAATTAAAATCTTCCAAGGCCTCATCCTCCCCAGCTCAGAGCCCCAAGTTGCCCTCGTTACCCTCACCAAAATCCCTTTGATTTATGCAACAGCACAAGTAGCATCATGATGTGTGTGACCTGTGCATCACCCATCCTCCTGCTGCCAGCACTGCTGGGGCTCTGCCTGCCCCTAACCTCGCTGAGGGTCACAACAGGGCCAGGGCAGCAGGACTGGGCACATCCAGCTTCCAAAGCACAAGGGATGCTCCAGGCAGGGGAGCTGCTGAGCCAGCACCTGCTGCTCCTGCACACCCCAGCATGTGGGTGGCCACCAGCACCCTGCACCCCAGAGAATACATGGTCTTACCTTTGTATTTCCTCTACCTTGGCACAGCCACATGTGGCTCTGGAACAGTGATGGGAATATCCTGTGTTTCCTTACTAGCAGGGCAGAGTGGGACCCTCAGGCAGGCTCACCCCACAGGGCAAGTGGCTGATGCCTTTGATTCAGGCTTCTGTGGGGAAAGCAAAACACAGTTTTCTTTAGTAAGTCTTCCAGGAGCTTTACAAAGCACAGGCACCTCTGTTTTGGTGCAGCCACATGCAGCCTGAAACATCTCCAGCGCCCCTTGATGTGATCACCAGGAGCTGTTCACCAGTGAGAGCTCTGCCAGACATTCAGGTACCACTGTGCTGCAGGTGTGGGGGCAAAACTGAGGGCTGGCTGGGCTGTGGGGCAGGTGGGGCCACAGCCACAAAGGCCTCATGGCCATGGGGAGCACAGGACATGCAGGAGCTGCAGCAGAAGCAGTGCCATGGAGATGGGCTGTGAAGCATTAAAGCAGAAGCTGCGTCGATTACAAACACAGCTTCGAGCACACGGTGGCTGCAGAGGGTGGGAGGCAGCAGCTCCCTGGGGAAGGCTCTGATAACATTTACGAGCAAATCATTTACATGAGCCATGGAGCAAAGCAGAAATACCTCTGTGGAGCTCAGCTGTGGCTGTGAAGAGAGAAATGATGCAGCAGCACTGTACCAGGGCCTCCTGCCTGGCAGCGGGATCTTCCTCAGGCAGGTGGTGAGGTGTCACAGTGCCATCCCCTCAGGGCTGCATTTACACCTTCAGGTCCAGGGGAAGGACAGTGGGAACAGTGGAGCAGATGCCAGGGCACGTGCCTGCTAAACAGCCTGGCAGAGCCACCCTGAAAAAGGCAACACAAGAAGGGAAGGGCAAAGCAAACATCTTGCAACTGAGCCAGGCCTTGCTGGGTGGTTGCTCCTCCAAGCCCGTTGCCATGGCCTTCAGGCTGGGGCTTTTTCTGTCTCCTTGCCTCAAAGACACCTGAGGCCTCCCAGCCCACTCACAGGGATCCTTTGTTGGCATGTGCTGCCGTCTCAGAGATGTACTCAAGGCACATCTCACCTGGGCTGGAGGAGGCACCCGAACCCATCATCTGCAGTAACAGCTCAGAGCACAAGGGAGAGGGTACAGGCTGCTCACACTGCCCTGCATTCTGATGTGACCCCTGCTGGAGAGAGTTAAGGGCTGCTTGTGTTGGAGAACATATTTTATATCCACAACTGATGATTAGCCAAACATTCCTCCATTCTCTTATTTCTCATAATAAATAGATCAAATGGATATATTTATCCAGCACTAAGACCAGAATGAATAAAAACTGGCTTTGGACCATCTAAACATGGAGCAAGTCTTGAAAAATTGAAATTTCCCCATGTTACCCACTGAAGCTTCAACAGCCAAAGAGCTGAAAGAGATTTTTGTATTAAACTTGATTTTCCTGCACAAACAAGCCCCAGTGAAAAAGCAGATGGGTCAGGTGCTGTAAGACTTCAAAATGACACATGCTGTAAATACAGCATCATGAATAATTTTGCTCAGATCCTTTAATCCAACTCCATCTCTAAAGCAGTTTGCATCAGCTCCTCCTGTAACTTCTGCAAATGGGCCCCAGGTAAAATCCCACATCCTTGGTCCAAGTGTGCTCTTTGGCCTTGAAACACAATTTAAAGTCTCTAGTTGATGGACTACCCTCCATTTTCAGTGCCAGTGTGGGACTCCCACCCCCAGCCTCCTCCATGGGGGAGGCTTCTGAGCAGAGCTGGTGTCTCCAGCAGCCAAGGCCCAGCCCATCCCACATCTCAAGGAATGCATCACTTGAAAGCTCCCGTCTCCATCCTGCAGGGAAAGCAAGCCAGACCAAAGCTAGCAATAAAAATGATGAGTAACCATTCAGGAAGGATCCCATGCTTCTACATCAACTGCCTAGAAAAGTTTCAGTTCTACTTTTTTTTGATCTTAGAAACAATTCAGACATTTAACTGTGCCATCAGATGAGGCAGGAGTCATTTATAGAAGAAATCTCTAAGTGGCCTTGACACACAAATAGAGTCAATTAACCTGCAAGGAGAAGTCCGGGGAACAGGCTGATGAAAAAGCAGCAGTTACATAATTTGTCCTGGACTCGGTCTGTCTGTTCTCAAAGTCAGCAGCTTGTCCTGCTGGGGATGAGGAGCAGTGTCTGCCCAGCCTCCTCTGGCAGTGCCTCCTCGCCACCGCTCCTGCCCCGAGCAGCTCCACTGCACCCACATCCCCTGAAACACATTCTCAAACTCCTAATCCCTCCCCCAAGTCAGATTCTTAAACTCCTTTGGGAAAAGAGGCGAGGCTGCCTCCCCTGCTGTGAGGGACTCTCCCGTGCTGGCACCGAGCTCCTGCGGCTGCACCATCGGGGCTCACCCGTCACGGCCAGGTCTGCAGCCACGCTCCCCACGAGGGCACTTACTCACATCCTCGGGTCCCGGCGCTGTCCTCTGCTGCCCACGAGCTGAGTGATGCTGTGGCTGGGGACAGCCACATGTCCTGGCTCGGTGCCTCCAGCTTAAAGCCTTGATGGAGCAAGTGGTGGCCACCAGCCAGTTTAAGGGTCAAAGCCCCTCGGACACAATGCTATCGGTAACAAGGTGGTGACCAAGGAGGCCTCGCTGTTGAGCAGTTTTCTTATGACTAAATCTACGCAACGTTACAGAAAGGACAAACAAGCTCATCAAGAAGCAATTTTCTCTTGCAGCAGCTTAGACCCAGCTCAGCCAGGCTGGCTCCAGACCATGGTGAGAGGCAGCTCCAGCTTGTGCTGGCTGGAGGTGCGAGCCTGGCCGGGCAGCCCGGGATGAGCTGGGCACTTGGAAGAGAGCTGGGGAATCCAGGCTGCTGCCAAAGGGGAGCTCACTGTTGTATTATTGCACTGGGACATTCAAAACAGTATTTGACACCAATGCTGAAAGAGAAAAATTAATACACACAGCACTGTTCTACAAAAGCTGCAGGCCTTTGAATGGGAATTGATTCATTCTTCATGGTTATCTTCAAATGCACAGCTCTGATCTCCTCTCTAATCACATCACAGACAGGGTCAGAAGGGAAGCATGGAAAAATACAAGCTAAGCAGACCACATCACATGTGTCTCCGAAGGTCTAAGGCACAAGAGAAACCAAAAGGCAGCATCTGGAAAGTTTTACTTTTTATTTTTCTAAAATACAAATGTCTGTCTTGTGTTAGTAACTTTAATATGATAGGCCGAATGCATCCAGTAAAAAGGAGGCACTGGCTACAGAATTCAAAATACTGAAGATATTTTCTGGAAAGAAATTTATTCTGTTGATCTACACTTCAGATATAACATTGATTCAAATTCATTAGTTATTATTTTTACATCAGAATCTTTGAAGTTTGGGACTAATAAACTGGAACTTGAAAAGTTTTTAAAGTAAACTCCTATTAATGTGTAGATATGGATCCATAAAAAACATAACCAAGAATTTTATACACTTTATTAAAAGATCAAAAAATAAACAATAACAATATAGAAGTAACATACTAAAATGAGTAGCATTATGCACATTTCTAAAGCACGTACAAGCACTACAGCAATATAATGTGGCAAAAAGAAACAAATTCAAAGCGTACACCCTGTTGGTAGCAGTTGAGGGAATGAACTATCCTGTTATGGAACTGAAATACTGCATTAACCTACGCCTGTCTGGATCCAATGATATTTTAATTTCTTACAATTCCACAGGGCTAAGTGTAATCATTTGTATATATTTTCTAAACTATTCCATTAAATTTATATCTAATGTTTCCCTTACTTTGTTTTACCAGAAATGCCTATGAAAAGAAGAATGTGCTTCAAAGATCTACTTTACACAGTACAGTATAAATGTTTTTATATATTTAAATTAAAAATTGACAATTTAGGAGAACATTCTCTCTTTGATTTTAGTGATTGCCTAAAATACAATTCTCTATTTATAAAAAAAAATAGTGATCTGTTGTCAGGTGATGTAATAAAGGGTGAGGAGTCTGTTCATTTTCATGATCTAAAAAAAAAAAAAAATTAAAACAAAGCTAATTGGAAAGAAAAAAAAAAATCCCATAATCCAGTCTAAGAATGGTCTTATCATCCCCTCATCTGCTAGGATACAAAAGCCATGGCAACAAAATCATTTGGCTTCCACCACTATCAAATAGCATCTGTGTACAGTAATAAAGAACTGGAACCTTGTAATTCGGTGTCAGGTAATTCTCTCTGTTGTGTGTTTGGAAAAATAACTTCATTTTATTTAACAGTTGTGTTATTTTGCATGTTTAAATATCTCCTTTGAGAGGCATATAGAGTTATTTTTGATGATAGAGGATGTCAGTAAAGATCACTAGCAAAGATTTTAGCAGTGTTGTCATGATCATGCTCATACCCCAACTAAGTTTGACCAGCTATGATTCATTTCACATAGTGCAAAATCTTTTTCTCTCATAATCCTAGAAATGAGAAAGAGCTTGATTATAGAAACTGATTATGGCAAAGGGAAGCCATAATCGTGTGGTGGCTTGAACTAGCTGATTATTTAGTATTAAAATCTAGGTTATTATATAACACCACGGAGAGAAGCAACATCTGATTTTTCCTCATTTTAAAGACCCTGGGGCCACTCCAGTTCAGCAAACCACCACTTGCACAGCCCCGTGGTGCAGAGTGGGCTGGCTGAGCACACACTGGCATTGCCAGGAGTCAGGAATTCTGGCCAAGGAACAGGTCTTGGGCTCAGCCCCAACCCTGGGGCATCCAGCAAAGGGTGACAGTGACATCAGATGCCACCTCCCACCAGCTCTGCGCTGGGGGACTTGAGTCACCGCTCGAGTCAGGACCAGACTCATGGCAAAACCAGCTCGAAGCAAAACTGGGGCTTGGGTTTTGCAAAAAGAAACCCCCAAAACAAACCCAAATTAAAAACCAGGGAAAAAAAAAAACCTTAAAAAAAAAATACAGCAAAAACCCGAAACTTGTTCCAATCAAAAATAAATGGGTCAACACAGGCACTTCAGCTGCTCCAAAATCCCCCAGCACTGCAGAGCCCCAGCAGTACCAACACAAACAGGAACAAGAGGCTGCTCATTGACAGGCCACAGCTTTGCTCTCCTTTGGTGGCAACTCAAAGGCGCTTGTTAGTCCCAGCCCGGAGCAGCCGGCTGGCCACGCTGCCACCAGCTCCCTGCCCCAGCAGCACCTGCAGCACGTGCCCCTCAAACAAACACCACGGCTGTCACACAGCAGAAACAACTGGTCCCAGACAATCCCAACCCATCCCTGTCCATCTATGCCTCACCAGCTCCTTCCATTTTGTTACCTTGCCCTGAAATACTAAAAAAAAAAAATAAATCAAGAAGTTGTGACATTTCAAATTCACTCTGGGATTTAAAACACTCGCCACAATGACAGTCACCTCCCACAGATAGACACTCCCAGACAGAAATAGGATTAGGTGCTAGGAAAAATGTGTGTGTGCTGCCATGGACCTACCAGTCCTAATAGGATTCACCGAGAACACAACCTATCAGAAACATGACCTGGGGTGTGTTTGAAAATGTAGGCTGATTAAAAAAAGTAATTTGAATCTTTGCTAGTGACCTTACTAATTAATTCCACACCGTTTCCCATTCTCTGTGCTGCAGGTTGGAGCTGACCTGTTATCAGTCTGCTGTATAATAAGCTATGGCAAACTACAAAGCTTTTACAACAGCAAAGCAACATCATGCTTTCAGATAAGTTTTATAGCAAAAAACTCCTCCTTTTCAAAGCCTTAGTAATACCTATCTCTTTTACAAACTTTTCCTGTATTATTACAGACTTTTTATATTCAAAATAAGTTCCAAGGATTTCTTTCGTGGACTATGTACATAAGTGCAAAAAAGGTGTGTCTCACACATTCGTACACTAACTGAATCAGTTTAACTGCAGCATATTTGTATCTTCAACACTGTTACGGGGTCATTCCACAATATTTTTTTTTCTTATGTACAGTTTTTGCTAATATAAATTAGTATTAAAATAGCTATATGCTTAATTATTTAGCCCTGATCGTAACGTAATCGTGTGAGTGTTCCATTTTTGGAGAAAAGAAAATTGCAGGCAAAGCTACAGTACTGAAACTGATTAATTCTGAATTCCCACTGTGTGAATGGATGTGAAATGAAAGCAAGGCCGGTCACTACGTTGTAAATACAGGCTGCTGTGTTTCTGAAGTGAAAATACTGTGGAATAACCCTTGCCACACAACAATTTCTACAAGCTATAAAACCTGACTCTAAATCCATGTGTTGTAAACTTCTTGACTGAAAAAGTGACCTTAAAGACACAAATTCAGCGTTCACATGGGACTTTGGGATTTTAAAAATATTCAATCATATCTTTATCTGACAGTATCGAACTGTACCTTTAACAAGCTCATACTGTTACACATCACTTTTAATTTACATGTGAAAATTTCACAAATAATGTATACAAAGGTAGCCATGTTGTAGTTTTGTTGCCATAGCAACAACAACTTAATATAATTAGTTAACAATGAATCTATCATTGTAGGAGTTACATACAAAGTTAATTTTGTTCTTAAACTGTAAACTATACAAACTAGTTATGGACTGTATTCTATACCTTACCATGCTTCAGTGTTGGTTTAGAATATAACTAAATGGGCTGAATACATGTATTAAAAATTTTAAACTTTCTCTAACTCTCCTTCAAAATTAAATTCATTAGTTACTAAAGATATCAAAAGAAGCAATAATGAAAACCTTAAAAACTAATGGTAGAGAAATGAAAATATATGACATGAATTAATGCGTTGTAGCCTAGTAACAATGAGTTGTAGCTCTATTTACATTTGGATTAGGCTATCAACTATTTTTTTTTTTTTTTTAAAGTTATTACAGTCTTTAACATACAGTATATACTCTAAGGCCTTCAACAGGCACATGGTAAAATCAGGTCAATATCAAACTAAATCCATTCAACAGGAATGGGAAATTAGATTTTCCTCATAAATTTCACCTTTTTTAATTTTCATGTCTGTGAAATGTACAAGGGATAAACAAAACGAGGACTCCAGTTTCTCAATCGTTGTGTACCCGGCGTGTCCTAGAGCTACTCCTACCGCGCCAGCGCCAGCCCGAGCCAGGCCAGGGGATGTGTCCGGCCCCGGCGTGTCCCGCTCCGGCCAACGCGCGGCCGGCTGCGGTGGCAGCTCCGCGGGGTCCCCGCTGCAGCGCGACACGGGAGGAGCAGCGGGACCCCGGCCCGG